GAACTACGCATGCTCTGTGACGTATAAGAGTACTCAGATTGTTAAATCGAAAGTTTATTGACTCCCCAAAGTCCCTAAATTTTCAGGACAAAATTGTTCATCTTCGTCTAGAACCTCTCACCCTGTCCGGGAACGGCGACTCCTAGTAGCCATGCAACCGGCGGCACATCCTATGAAATTTTCAGTGCTCACAAAGCGACGCTAACACGTTAAGGCAGGACTGAAGGAAAGATGAACAGAATTAGTGACAGGATTCAGTTTAGGTGTTAACAGCAACCAGGAATATTGAGAAGATATTCACGCTGCACAAAGACATAAACTATTTATATTTTAAACATTTACCACTATAGAAAGCTGTTATTAAGATTTGTATCAGTATTGTCCATATTGTATTGAAGAACGTTTTCCGAGAATAGTGAGATAATTTTGTTTAAATTTCATATTAATTAGGATCACTGCTAACAAAATTCAGATTGAAGAGTTCTGTCCTCTGGGAAAGAATGTCATGTAGTCCGTTGAAAGTAAGCCGACGTTTCGGAGGAATACGTTGCCTCCATATCCCGTGTTGCAGAAGAAGTCAAATAAGAAACCAGACTGACGCAAGTAACAAGCAGAGCTTCAAGTTGGTTTCTAGTTTTGTTTATTCATTGAAGATGGAGGCGAAATGATCCTCTAAAACGTCGGTTAACTTTGAACGGGCTATGCTGAGCTATGTTTCAGAAGATAGAAATCTTGGTAACTACCACTGTGAGAATATTAAAGCCTACAAGGATCAAATTCACTAAGGGAGTGTTAGCAAGACTCTACCACAAATATAAGTACCACTGCTTTGGGTATTGTGATCAGCTGCAAGGACACGATCTCTTCTTTATGCGTTCATATCTTCAAGGAAATCCAATAATCTGTTGTAGGAGTGGCAAAACTGCTTAATGTTACCCCGTTCTCTGTATCATATCATCTATGTGTATACATTTCCCTTCCCACGTAGTTCCATAAAATGCAATATCCCCTACGCTGTAAGCCTGCTGTTACATGTTGCTTGGACAGACTGAGGATCATGAAGTTTGTCAGAGAGGGCTTTGATTCAGACTGAGAGAAGAGCAGTAGAAATATTTCGTTGTTTTACTAGTATTTATAGCAGAAGAGTAATAGTTGTTTGCTGGAAACTAATTAAACTATGTAAAAACTGGAAGAGATATATCAAGACATATCTTTTGTCAGTTTAATATGGGCCTGTATTCAAGGACGTCAATAACCTAGGCTCCTCTATGTATCATTATACAAAATATTCGCTCGTAATGTAAAAGACAAATTTTATTATGATGTAAAATTTCAATTGCTATATACTTAGGTGAAATTTTATTTTCATCTAAGTTGATTATTTCTATGATAGAATGTTAATTGGATGCGGAGCGGCTGGTAGAATGGGAGTTAGCAGGGGTAACAGAAGTATCTGAAGAAAACCAGTCCCAGTGCCACTTTTTCCACCACATACCACACATGAATTAACCTAGAACAGAACCCAGGATGCCGGCGACTAATCGCCTGAGCTGTGGCACAGCCTTATGTGTAATATATATTTAACAAAATGAACAAAAAAGGCGAATACCTGTACTTAGTGACACATGTGTGCCGCTATTTAGATCTGACAAAAAATAAAATAGCAAAATTTCTACGCTGTCCGTTACGTCTGTCATGAATAAATAGATGCATGCGAAATTGATAAGAACGGAGTAGGAATGCATCTACATCCAGAATTTCGGCACATCTCTACACCACTGATAGACTTTGACAAAATTGTGTAGTAAACTTTTAACAGATATATATCATATAGTTTCCGTTGCTTGAAGCTGTTCAGAAAGTAGTTTCGTAAGCCACTGTAACGATGTGTAAAGTTGTGCATTTTGGTTGTGTTTTAGGTGGTCACGGAACCACATATTTTTGTTAGAATTACCAGCGTTTTTGAGGGACAAGCTGCCTCCACATAAATATTCACGATTCTGAAAACTTTAGATCTAATTTTACGATATCTTAATGCTTAAGTTGTCTTAATGGAAACATGAAACATAAAGACAATTAAATACGAAGAGAAACAATTTACAAACTCAATCGAGCTTTAATTAAATGAGTCATTGTCTGTAATATATTTGTCAGTCACATGGTCAGCAAAATAGTGGCCCCAATGTCCGTTGCCTATTGTCTGAATTTCCTCTCATATCCCCGTATATTCTGGTAATGATCATGGTTTTCTTCTTTACCTTGAGGTATGTTCCGAAGACAATACATTTGAATATGCTATGATATATTTTTGTGATATAGCGGTCAATCTGCATAACACACTCATGACCTACCCAGTTTGAACCCGGATAGGAGAACCAGCTTTATTAATAAAGGTTTCTCTCGCTTTTCGTGATATTTTGTAAGTTTATTTTATCTGAAATATGCCACTATAACTTCTTACAACTCCTCAACTACGCATTCCTAACGATCGTGCGCCTACTCCGTCTGACTTTATACAACTTCAGTAGCTGAAATACTTGTGTTATGTAACTCGGGGATCAATGCATACTTAAAATTCTCCTAATCCACGCCACCGTTAGAGACTTTGCCCGTGAGAGAGCCAGGAACTCGTACAAGCAGCGGGGAAAAATAAAAGGCGGGTGAAAAGAGTTTAGTCTTTATAGGGAACCTGATGTGATCCAAACGATTCGAGATGGGAAGTCCCGACGTGTGAAGTTCTTGCTCTATATGCAACACGCGCTCCATACCTACTGTTAGGCGAAACTTCAAAAATTGCTACGGGTAGTGTGTCTCGTTTTCTGAAACGAGCCCAAGATTATTTAACGGCTCAATTAATAATTTTATGTGATGTAACTAACCTGTGTTTCAACAGAGAGTTCCCATACTCAGGCACTGGTTAGTTCTACATTTATCTCTTAGCTCAGTGCACTTTTCAGGTAGCTACATGATTTGTCTTTCTGCTGTTCAAAACGAAACAAAAGGAGAAACACCCATGCATTATAAATGGGCCAAACTTTCAAATTTGCTTATAACTTCCTTACTCTCCAATCTTATATATTTTCTCCGAATTTGTCGGAATTCCAGTTTGGTGTTCTAGCACTCGGTTCTTTCTTTCTTAAGATAATAAACATTTCGGATAAATTAAGAAGCTGTTCCATATTTAGAAACTGAAGAGGACAGAAAGCGCTTCATTGGTATATCAGCAAATATGACCAAATATTTTATTGATTACCCTTAGATTACTTCACGAGCTACTTCGTGCAAGGATTATAGTGTAAGATTTGAGGTTTTCACGGCAGTGACTATGAAGAATTCCGTCTTCTGAGATGTGGTGTTGTGTAGATATTGTGTTAACCGACGTTTCGGAGGAACGTCGTTTAACACAATATCTACACAACACCACATCTCAGAAGACGGAATTCTTCATAGTCACTGCCGTGAAAACCTCAAATCTTACGAAATTGTATTTTCTTGTTTATTCCCCCGTCTTCTGACCATCTTACGTTTCGATTAACATTTTTACCTCTGCATATCATTCAAGCCGCAATATCAGAAAAAGGCCTACGCTGTTCTTTCTACTGCTAATAAAATTGTAGGATAATATTATCAATTTGATTCTACTATTAAGAATTGGATAGGAGTCCCATTAGTCTAATGGAGTCACTGATTAATTACACTGATGAAAAGTTTGTGGCAATATAAGGGAAAGCTGACTTGTTCAATCAGTTTCTGATGTGCTGATCCTAAATTTGAACTTAAAACTTTGATTCTCATGACAGTTTTATTTTTAAACAAAGCGGTGGGTCTTTCTGTCTTCAGTTTCTGGTCTTTTAATGTCGCTACAATTTTTATCGAACATAATGAGAGGCCGTTACGTTTCTTTAGTGAACAACAATTGCATATCATTTACGTAGAGCCATTGTTGCAAATTGCACAATGACTGCCACCTATGCTCACTTGTCTTGCATAGCAAAAGTAGAAGTCGACAAGAAAAAGCCCGTTACCAACTTTTTATATTTTTATTGTTAGGGAGGTCGATTTGGTGCAAACTGTTGATTTCGTACATGTTAACTTAAACCTTTGTTATATTTTGTTATATTAACTGTGCATCTTTCTTGCTTCATTATCTTGTTATTTGGCGAAAAGTTTAAGAACTTGGAAATAAATATTATCTAGAATTTAATATAATCTGTTTGCCTTTCCCTCAATTGTCGTCATTTTGTTGTTAATTAAAGTTGGAAATATATAATTAGATCAAGTGACTATTCCACTCACTGCCTTGCCCCCGCTTACACCATCTAAATGAGAGTTTTGTATTCGCATATATTTCTGTACAATGTTCCCTTTGTAATATTCAAGAACTATAGAGACTGGGATATGACGATGTATCTTGTCGCCGCAACAGAAAATAACAGCCTACTTTCCAATTATTTACATAAATTTGTACAATAATACGAGTATAATTTTGTTACTACGATTTTAAGACAGATGTAACAATACGCCTGTAATTATAAGTGTTCTCTAATGTTATTTCATTGTATGCTGTTTTGTTACAAGTTTATTGTTTACCATATATTAAAATATGCCTCGGCGCAGTAAATACCGTATTTAAACTTTTCGCTCTTCGACGCGGACAAGTTAAGGAGCGATATAATGCATGTATTTCAAAAAAATAATTCATGAACCGAATTGAAGTGAATAATGTACCTGTAATTAAAAGGGATCTGTTTTGTTATTTCATTATATGCAATTTTGTTATAATTTTGTTTGCTTACCCAAATAGAAAATACGCCTCAGCTCATTAAACTTTCCAGTTATCCGATATGCGAACTGAATGGGTGAAGATTGGATCTAGTGCGTAAGTTTCAAACGCTTTCTTCGTGAACCGAATGGAAACGTGTGTCACATATTTATCAGAACAGACAGAATTAACTCGAAGGAGAAGAATTCGAGCACAGACATGTGGGTTCGAGTCTTACCTGGTCAGTCGCGTGACGTAACAGGAATGAAGATGTTGAAAGTGACGACTGTTGCTGTTAGCGACGCGGTCACGGCGCGAATCGGCCCGCCAATGTCGGGACGCTCTTGTTATATACCCCACAAGTGGCGGTGGCGGCGGCGGCCACACGGGATTACCCCCACTATTCGCGCGTCTCATGTGACGTCACTAGTATTGAACACAGGGGCGTAACTTATTAAATGCATATGGCTACGTCATAGCTACATTGTTAAGATAGGAACTTGCATGGCTTTAGGTAGCAGCTCTGTCAATGGAGTAGGTTGCTATTTGTCTAATGAAGCAGAACATGACATCCGTTCTTCAGCCTTCCGTATTTTTCTCTCCTGCGTTATTTCCATCCATCCGTCAGTCCGTCTCTCCGTCTCCCCCTCCATCTCTTCATCTGTTCGTCCGTCTCTCCGAATAGCCATCATATGTACATACGATCCATGCCCGCAGAAATAGTTTCATCAATATATTTTTTCTCCAAATTCAGTATTGATGTTTGTAAGCTGTACAATATCCCTCCCGAAATTTCAGCTTACTTTACGCTAGTAAGCTTATGACAAACAATATGCCATATTTTGTGTGTGAGGGGCATGCAGGCCCATTTTAAACAGGCTCTTCTCTTGAAGTGGTCTCACTTCTATTATTTAATTACAAATGATGTCATAAGTAAACAGAAATGTGAGAATTCAATTTAAATTAACTGTTGACATTATTTATACACTTAATCTATATTCGTTTTAATAGAAAATGTGATTTTTGAAAATATTTATTAAATATATTCATATATTTAAATGGGTTTCGGAGTAGCGTGGGGGTACTACATTTGTGATTGGCCAGGGCTACTTCTCATCTGTCTCAGACCCAGCCTAAGGATATACTTTTCCAATTGTCGTTGAGAAGCTTCATTGAATATTAATGTCATGTCAAAAGAAATATCGGTCGAAACGAAATTTAAGATATTTATACACGTGTGTTAAATTATTTCGCAATGGCTGTTGTGTAGTTACTTATTTCGCTGTCTTTGCCTAGCAACGGGCCAACATGCACACAATATGTAGACAATCATAGATAATTCCTATTATTTTTTTTCATGGCAGCCTGTTGTTGTTGTTGTTGTTATTGAAGACAGTGTTTGAAAATATAACGCTTGGGTTCATCGACCACTTAGAAATATTCCTTCTGCCTTTCTGAAAATGGAGCAATTCTCTGAAAAAATAATTTTGTAAAACTGTCATAATTAATCGATCTCATGTCATAATAATCAAGTCTGAGACATTGCATATTTGTTATCCCGCGGACTGAGTCAAAATACTTATATTTCTTCGATAAATCACAGATGAGAAATTCTGTTTGAGTACCTCGACAACAGACCAGTGTTTTCTTTAACGATGTTTCTATCTATTGCGAAGTGGAACATTGCAGTAACTAAGCACTATCAAATAAGCTTAAGATCTGCCAACTTAAATCCTGAATAAGTGTGACCGTATGTCTGAAGTCTTCCTACCGCAGCGGCCTGGGTTCGATCCCAGGTCTGGTCAAGTGGTATTTGTAATGGACAAAGTGGCGCTGGGGCGGGTTTTCTCCGAGTACTTCGGTTTCCCCTGCCAATCTTCATTCCACCAAATTCTCCATCATCATAATCACCCGGGGCAGGCTACAATAGGCCAATCAGTGGCCGCCGTGCCGAGTGGATTAAGTTGGACTCCACCCCTCACTAAGCGAAAAAAAAAATGTCTGAAGTCTACAGTAATAACTCAAACCGTTCAGAATTCAATCACTCTATGAGCTGTGGTAAGTCATACACGTATACTGAGTAGGCAAACTTGTGAGAGAAACATGTATGAATTTCCCATCGGCCTATGAACACCAGAAGTTTAAAGACATTTTAATTTGAAATTGAAGTTTAAAAAGTGCCAATTTTGGAAATCAAATTGACGTGTGTAGGTTAACAAAGATTTTATACATACATACAATTGAAAAGACTGGTGTTTTAAATTTTAAACTACGGGCAGTGTAGCAGCTACGTAAGAATATACACCTGATGATGGCCATTTAGGGCCGAAACATGTAGTGTGGAGGAAGGAAAGAAGGAAGAACTACAATTAAATTGTTGCACTTAAGACGGAGTTTGTCTCATATACCAGAAGTATGTTGAAAGTAGAATCTAGTAACTTCCTAATGATGACGTAACGGCCTGCGTCACTAACTGGCGATGACGTACTCCCGTTCCTTTAACCGTTTTCTCTATTCATGAAAATACTGAAAAGTGCAACGTATTGTCACATATCTTGGTAACGCGACAAGAAATTAGCGGGTTTCGGAGTTGATGAATGGATTTATTTGACAATTTCACAAGGCGGAACTACAGATAATTATAACACACTCAAATTACTTTAACTATAAGACACAAAACAAGGTCTTCAACGTCTGTTTGCCTGCTTTTACACCGAGTAAATAGTTCATTCCTTAGTTGTCATGAAAACTACACCTCTGTTGTGCAGGAAACTTCTGTCTACGTTGCTTACTAGACGTCTGTTTTGGAGTCGCTAGCTATGCAATGGATTCACATGTCACAGTCTGCTGAAATAAATCACAACTAATATAATTATGATGAAGATCCAGTCTCGAGAAACTTAGAATAGCCCAGATGTTCCGAGTAGTTTTACCTCTGGCGGTTCATCGCCAATTGGTTCGTCTTGGCGTCATGCCCCTTGAGACTGACGACCTGGGAATTTTTTCAACTGAACCCTTTGCAGTCATAATCCTTATGTAACATCCTCTCTGACGAGAAGATATGTAAGAAGCTGAGTAAGCACGTCAATAAATAGATAAAGAATTGAAATTGAATTACGATCATCTTTATCGTTGTCAACATCATTAGGCCTACACGTATGCTCTGTTGCTGCAAAAGCCGAACATTTTAGTTGGAAGGAGGAAATGTAGTCACTGAGGAAAACCGAAGCCAAGACATCAGTTTGCAGTGGTTTTCCAAATGAAATGACTGCATGAGACGAAACTCATTGTTAGAATCTGTGGCCCATATGTGGGTCACATGTAAAGGGAACTCTTTAGGACACCTACAGTGACAAGCAACAAACCACTAGCATGATCTTTATTTGTCGTGTTAAATTTGTGTTTCATTAAGTGGACTCGGGAGAAGGGAATATATATCTTTCTGTTCCAATATCCATCACAATCAATCTGTATACTGGCAGATCGTGGACATAAATACGGTCCGAAGCTTCGAGACTTTCCTGTCCTGAGTACTTGATTGCCTCCTTGACGTAACGAAACCAAAGTGTCCTAAATTGGACTGAGAGTAGAGAAGTGTACATCAATTTTGTGTGTTGAATTATGTGTTTTCAGCAATTCTACTCACCTTTCCCTTATTCACGTTTATTTAGTATATATGTAAATTCATTGTTAAATTGCGACGTTAGGAAATTTTTAATATAGCCTGCATATAGTTAAATAATTTCTGTGTAAAAAGCATTTACAGATTGACACCTATTCTGAACCAGATAAATTCAGTCCAAACCTGCAGACCCTGAGTCCGTAAAATCCATTTTAATATCAACCTCCAGTTCTTGAGATTTTCGTCCAAAAGATATGCACTTCTTAAACTAATTTCCTTATTTCCAGAAAAAAATAATATGATGCTTATAAGATTACCTCTTTTTTAGTTCGCTTAGTAGGGGGTGGAGTCCAGCTGGGTCCACTCGGCACGTCGGCCACTGATTGGCCTATTGTACCTTCCCCGGGTGATTATGATGATGGAGAATTTGGTGGAATGAAGATTGGCAGGGAAAACTGAAGTACTCGGAGAAAACCTGCCCCAGTGTCACATCGTCCACCACAAATCCCACTTGAACAGAGCTGGACTCGAACCCGGGCCGCCGCTGTTGGAAGCCAGCAACTAACCGTTTGAGCTATGGTGCGGTCGGCATAAGATCACCTTCCTATCTATCTTGTATACTTCTGTCTGTCCATCTGTATATGCCCCCCCTTATTTTCTGAGGCTCTTGAGAAAACTTTGCTCGTTTTGTATTCCGCCCTAATTTTTGTTGACCTCTTCTGTGGTCTAGTGGCCAGAGTTCCTGGCTATAGATCCAGAGGTCCGGGTTTGATTCCCGGCGATGTCAGATTTTCTGAGAAGTAATGGGTCCAGAACGTGGTCCACTCAGCCTCGTGAGGATAATTAAGGATCTGTATCAAGGAAATAGCGGCTCCGGTCTAGAAAACCGAAATTAACTTTCATGAGGATTCGTTGCGCTGACCGGACGACACCCTCTATCCTCTAAAATTTGGTACTAACTTCGTCGACAAGCGGTGGTGGCTCGCTCGGTATAGTTCGCTTGCGGACTGAAGCCACGGATATTATTTGTCGTAATTTTTATTAGCAGATTTATGATATCACCTTGCTCTCTGTGTGTCTGCGTCCGCCCTCATTTTTTTGATTTTATATGCAGTCGATATTGTGTCAAAGGAAATTAGGCGATTAGCTCTTCCCAGAAGTTCTTGTTAATTATTCCAAGAATGCTGCTTGCTCAGCCCACTCATATTAATGGAGCCACTTCTGGCGCAGCGAACCGCGTTGTGAGAAGAGCAGTAATTGGGTAATTTATCGAGTTGCTGCAACTGTCCGAGGTGTCCTTTCCATTCATACAGACTGTACTTACTGCATTATTGACAGAAATGTGTATTAGAACGACCTATCCAATATTTACGTTGGAATTTCATGCATTTAAAAAGTTATCTTTCGATTTCTTCTTTGTGACATCACACAGTGCACTGGTTAAAAATTGACGGAAAGCCCCTATATACTGGTCAGTATAATCTACATTCAGATAATTAGAGGATGGGACCGTGATTATGAAACCAACTGTCTTAAAATGCTTCTTTTGTGACTTTCCTCCGTCCGTTAACAGGATTACGGAATAACGGACGAAACAGGATCAACCGCCCCCTTCAAAATTATTACCAGTCCGCACTTTACAATTTTCCTTCTCTTTAATCTTCAACGTTCTGTGACCTTTGTAGTGTAAACTGTGTTACGTAATCC